TTTTGAGACAGAGTCTTGCTCTGTCTCCCAGGCTAGAGTGCAGTAGTGCAGTCTTAGCTCACTACAACTTCTGCTCCCTGGGGTCAAGGGATTCTCCTGCTTCAGCCTTCTGAGTAGCTGGGATTACAGGCACCCACCATCATGCCCAGCTAATTTTTGTATTTTTAGTAGAGACTGGGTTTCACCATGTTGCCCAGGCTGGTCTCAAACTCCTGACCTCAAGTAATCCGCCCATCTCGGCCTCTCAAAGTGCAGGGATGACAGGTGTGAGCCACCATGCCTGGCCATGCTCAAATTTTTAAAGAAGAAAATATCCAAGTTTAGAAGATCAAATGACTCTTAAATGCTTTGTACTGGTGATAGCTCAGAATTAATCATCTTAGTGCAACTGAAGGGACATCTTCAACCAATATCTACCATTTGCTTTTTCTAGATGTTAACACAATTACTTTGTTTGCCTCGATAGTGGCTATGCTAGAGAATTATGATCACTGATAGTGATGTTTTATGTCCTCCCAAACAGAAAATAACATTTATGTCCATGACCTATTGACATTTCAACAAATCACTACGGTTTCAAAGGCAAAAGGAGCATCACTGTTTACATGTGACCTCCAGGTAAGTTTACCCAAGGTGAAATTTGGCTTTATGCTTTAATCAATACACTCTTTCCTACATCATTCCTACCATTAGAGGGGAAGAATGACATTGATGATCCATACCCAACAGAGACTCCAAAGGGAATTTTTTTTTCTGAGATAGGTCTCGTTCTGTCGCCCAGGCTAGAGTATAGTGGCACAATCTTGGCTCACTGCAATCTCTGCCTCTTGGGTTCAAGTGATTCTCTTGCCTCAGCCTCTCATGTAGCTGGGACGTAAGGCATGTACCACCACGTCCACTATTTTTTGTATTTTTTAAATTAGAGACGGGGTTTTACCATGTTGGCCAGGTTGGTCTCAAACTCCTCACGTCAGATGATCCGCCTGCCTGGCCTCCCATACTGTTAGGATTACAGGTGTGAGCCACTGCGCCTGGCCCAAAGAGGATATTTAATTGTATCAGAGAAATTTCTCTGTTGGTGCATAGCGTGAAGTTGAAGTGTTTGCATTCTCTGTGTGTGGGTTAATGAGAATCTACTGCTATTGGCAAGATGCAGCTAACCAAGGACAAAAACACTTGTCCTATACAAACTGTTATTGGGAAAGCAAGACTGTAACAGTATCATGAAGATAATGATAAGACATAAAGTGGACTCTTGTTCTAAACAGATCACTGTAGTCTTTGTCATTAGGGACTTTTCATTGTTCAGAAAAGACATCTCTCTTTATTTTTGTCAATTTATCATTCTTGCGTTCTTCAGAATCTGCCTCACCCCCTACTCAACTCATCATCTTTTAGTATTTATGTTCTACATTAACACTGCATCATTTTATGCTTAGGAATATTCTTCTCCTTGCTCTTTAAAGGCTTAAAGGTGGGGTTTATGTCACTGGCACATGGTTACCCCAGACCCAGCACGCGTTGACAGCCATGAGCAAGAAACATTTAAGGGTCAAAAGGAGGGAGGAGTTATATAGGGGAAGGACTGCCCCAGGATTTTCTCCTCTGAATTGTGAATGTCCATGTGATTTGCTGGTGCTGTGGTCTTTCGCTGGCAGCCCTCGGGAAGGAAGTGCTGCTCAGTCACTTGTTTCTTAGCGCAACTTAGAATGGTGTTCTGCTCAGCTTTCCTGGCAGCATGACTGTGTTACAGGAAATTTTCAGATTAGTAGCCATTTCAAGGTAGACAATCTCTAATTTAGTTATCACTCAGTTAGGGAGAATCGTCGTATTTTCATTTGCTCTGCGTGTCTTCTTCCAGCATACAGAGACTGGTGAGGAGGTGTTGCGGATGTGTGTGGCAGTGAAAAAGAAGCTGCAGCTCTATTTCTGGAAGGACAGGGAATTTCATGAATTGCAGGTAAGTCCACTGTTCCTTGGTCCATGGGTTGGGTAGGAGCTGCTGCAGTAGTTGGCCACCAGCTTGGAAGACTTCTTGTTCTGTTTTAATGAAGTTCCGGGCTCCAGTCTTGTCATTTTTGAACAGATGAATACTCTGGTATGAAGTGCATGAGAGCTTATTGATGCCCACTTGTAGTGTGATTCTACAGTGTTTCTATAGATTGGTTTATTTCAAAGTGAGTTTTCACCTTTTCCAAATGTACCTTGTCCAATTCAAGAACTTGTATTTTCATTAAGAGTAGTTTTCCTAGCCTTGTGCCTGGAGAATTGTGCCACATGAAGATGAGGGTTGTTTTGCAGAACAGAGGTTGCAGAATAACAGGAAAGTCGTGATTTAAAAAAAAATATTTATTTCATTCAGACTCTTTCTGTCTTTTTTCAGGGGGACTTTAGTGTACCAGATGTGCCCAAGTCCATGGCGTGGTGTGAAAATTCGATTTGTGTGGGTTTCAAGAGAGACTACTACCTAATAAGGGTAAAACATTATTATTTTACAAATATCATTAGTTTATCTTGGGGAAGATGATTTTGTACTTCTAAACTCCAGATCAAGAGGCCACTTTAAGTAGAGCTTTTGGCATAACAGGATTTGTTATTTATATGTGTAGTTATCTTTCATGCTGAGCATTTTTTTTTTTTTTTTTTTTTTTTTGATATAATTTTTTTTTTTTTTTTTTTTTTTTTTTTTTTTTTTTTTTTTTTTTTTTTTAAAAGTTTTTTTTTTTTTTTTTTTTTTTTTTTTTTGAGACAGAATCTTGCTCTTTCACCAGGCGCCAGGCTGGAGTGCAGTGGCACAATCTCGGCTCACTGCAACCTCTGCCTCCCGGCTTCAAGCAGTTCTCCTGCCTCAGCCTCCCGAGCAGCTGGGACTACAGGCGCACGCCATCACACCCAGCTAATTTTTGTATTTTTAGTAGAGACGGGTTTCACTATGTTGGCCAGGATGATCTCGATCTCTTAACCTTGTGATCCAACCACGTCAGCCTCCCAAAGTGCTGGGATTACAGGCGTGAGCCACTGCACCCTGCCCACGCTCAGAATTTTTCACAAATAAGATGCCTTTGTAACTTGTCAGTCCAAGAGTCAACGCTAAGTTCTCTATATAATGATGATCCACAGTGTGTATTTAACTCTTGGGACGCAAAATGAAGGCTGCTTGCCTCTGTCCAATGGATCATCATGGACTGCTATTTTTAAGGCTTCAGTGCTCAGGGATTATAAAATAATTTTAGTGTAAGTTTAAGTATTTTTAAGACTTTGAGTTTCCTCCCCTGCCCTCAAATCTTTTCATATATTTGTTCTAAAAGTGATTTTCAGTATTTTTTTAAATTTCAAAGGCCACATGTGTTTATTACAGAAAATATAGATAGATAAGGAGATAAAGGAAGTACAAATCAACCATAGCCCCCACACTCAGAAATAGTCACTACCAACTTTTTGGTACATGAGCTTCCATCCTATTTGTAAGAATAAAATGTTATAAAATTGCTTTATAGCCGGGCGCGGTGGCTCACGCCTGTAATCCCAGCACTTTGGGAGGCCGAGGCGGGTGGATCACGAGGTCAAGAGATCGAGACCATCCTGGTCAACATGGTGAAACCCCGTCTCTACTAAAACTACAAAAAATCAGCTGGGCATGGTGGCGGGTGCCTGCAATCCCAGCTACTCAGGAGGCTGAGGCAGGAGAATTGCCTGAACCCAGGAGGCGGAGGTTGCAGTGAGCCGAGATCGCGCCATTGCACTCCAGCCTGGGTAACAAGAGTGAAACTCTGTCTCAAAAAAAAAAAAAAAAAAAAATTGCTTTATAACCTGTGTTTTCTCTTAACATAAGTTGTAAATATCCATGACATTGTTTTTTCTCCAATATGCATACTATATGTAGAAAAGATGGTTACATTTCATTAAATAATCTAAATCTCTTAGCTTCACACCCCTCTCATAATTTAGACATGGCAATTCTAGAAGTCTTTCTCTGTAGCTTCGACTAGGTGAGCTCTTCATTATTGTTATCTTTTTTTGTTTCGTTTTGTCTTTTGGAGACAGGGTCTACCTCTGTCACCAAAGCTGGAGTGCAGTGGCAGGATCTTGGCTCACTGCAACCTCCGCCTCCTGGGCTCAAGCAATCCTTCTACCTTAGCCTCCCAAGTAGCTGGGGTCACAGGTGCCTTCTACCATGCCCAGCTAATTTTTGTATATTTTGTAGAGACGGGGTCACAATATATTGCATAGACTGGTTCACAATATATTGATTGCATAGACTGGTTATGAACTCCTGGGCTCAAGCAGCCCTCCCGCCTCAGCCTCCCAAAGTACTGGGATTACAGCCACCATGCCCAGCCCCACTATCATCTTATTAATATATTGGTTCCATCTTTTTATCATTTGAATATCCTAATTTTATCAGCATCAGAGTTGCAGACTCCTGGAGGAGTCACTGCTGTGCAACTGACTAAATAGCAACTAGGCCTAAAGATAGTGACAGAGCTCTGCAAGGAGTAAGGGAACTGAGCAAAAGCTGGAGTTAAGACTCTCAGTTCTCTGACTACCTTGGATACTGACATCACCTGGAGGGTGGGAAGTCTTGCTTTAGGACCAAGCTATTCAAAAATTACTTATTTACATACACTAAAATTTATTCTTTTTGGTGTACAGTTCTGTGTTTTGACACATACTTAGATTTATGTGACTAATGCCACAATCAAGATTCACAACATTTCCATCATCCCCCAAAATTCCCTCATATTGCCCCTTTGAAGTCAGCCTCTCCTGTTCTCAGACCTCTGGTAACCACTGATCTGTTCTTCATCTCCTATAGTTTTGCTTCTTCCAGAATGTCATGTAAATTGAATCACACAGTATGTAGCCTCTTGAGTCTGGCTTCTTTTTTTTTTTT